TAAGTTTTACAACCTTGTTATTACAAGACAATCATAAATCAGAAAAACACCTCAGACCACTAAGTTTTAGAGGTGATTAAATAACCAATAGAAAGAGCACTAACGACAAACAGCACACAAACAATACTCAATGCTCTTGTGGCATGTTGTTTTGACAATTTTAACATTAAAACACAAAATTTAAAAATTACTCTGAGAATCTCTGGGCAAACACCTGTCACAAGACCTTCATCCTAAAGAATATTCACTTTCTAACTCTGTATTAAGAGGCATGGCTTTTAAATTAAATAATAGGGTTTTACTGCAAAATCTGAAAAACTGAAATGCCGAAAAACTGACATGCTAATGTGGCCAATGCCCCTCCATCAAACCTGACAGGTCAGCAAAACCCGAGCTAAGCACCAGCTACATTTACATAATCACAAACAATAAGGTCATGTACAAAAGTAACTAGATAACTTCTCAGTGAGAACTCATTTACAGCACCAGAACACAGTTCTTCAGCTCTAGCTTCAGCCCATCACACAGATGTTTTGGTTAATACAATGAGACTGACACAAAAACTGCAGTTTTCGGCGCTGGGCTCTGCAGGTTCACATGCACTTTTCTCAGTGAGTAAACTAAACAGAGAGAGCAGCATCCAAGAAAAATTTATCCTCATATTGCCTACCCAGATGTTTTTACAGATAGTTTTGTTATAACTAATAGTCCGAAAGAAGCAGCCTAAATTAGATTTATCTACAATAGAGAGATGCATGGTTTAATTTACATTTAAAGGTAGTCACACTTTTAAGTTACCTTCAACACAGTTTTAATGGGAAGCCATAAGTTTCTGAGGTAGAATTTACTGAAGAAAAATGAATTCTTAATGAAGTCCACTTCAATACCTTTTTAAAAGCAGTTCAGACCACAGGTCTGATCTGTGTACATCCTGATCAGGTACAGCAGTCTAACCACTTATAACTTGAAGAAAAACTACAAGTTTAAGAACTGTACTACTCAGATCTCGGTTAACAGTTGAGGTATATTTCTTAATAGTCTGCTGAAAGAATTCAACCAAAGTACCTCACTAATTTCAATAGGTCAGAGTGCCACTGAGAAGTTTGAAATGTCCAATTTAATTTTTAAAAACTAGTGCAAGAAAACAGGAACAACTCTATTCACTGTCCACAAAGGGGAGCATTAAAATATACAAGTTGTCAGAAAAAAGGATGCAGGTTAAAATCATAAAAGTTAGTGTCTGAGAAGCCTAAGCACCCCAAAAAAAAAAAAAAAATCAGGTCACATTTGATGGTGCAAACAATTACAGGAAATACAGCCTATTCCACATTCAGGAAGAGCCCTCTCTTCCCACAGGTTTGTACTACTCTGATAAAAACAATTCAGCTTCCTAGTTATTATGATGTGCACTTTAAACATCCTTGTTAATCCACAAAAGCCTTATTTACACATAAAAAGCTGAAAGCACACATATGGAAAAATAACTGTAATCTAAACAAAACTGTGGCATTCACATTTTATTATAAAGTAGTTCTTTTTTTTTTTTTTTAGAAAAAAGTTTCCTAAGTATACCTCTTACATTTAGGCTGATTTTCAAAACTAAATGCCATAAAGCAGAGACCATCTACTAAGTTAAGTACTAAAATTTCCGAAGATCAAAAACTAGGATAGAGTTCAGAAAGGGAAATGTGTTTTGGATAACAAACACAGCACATAAATGGCCCAAAAAAAGGGATGTACATTCTATAACCTAAACAGATTATGTGTGCTGCTCACCAAAACTGACAGGTCCTTTTTTATCTCTTCCTGCATACAATTCCAAGAAGTAATGACAAGCCCATTTGAGTTTTTTTTTAAATACTGACATGCAACAATAAATAAATAATAATAATGAAAAAAATAACTAGAAATCTAGTAGGGAAAGCAATCTCATGTGTTATTTGTTTGAATTCTTAGGGTTGTGACTTTATTTCTTCAATTTGATCAGCACACAACATAAAAGACAATGGCTGATCATAATATTATTCTTCTGAAACATAAACAAAAGCTTCAGGAAAATGATTGTATAGTAACTAAAAAAAACCAAAACAAAACACCTACCTAAAGCACAGAATAAATAGAAGAAGCATATCAAATTACAGGGCGGAGGGCGCAAAAAGGGAATGTGAACCCTGTAACCTTGGTTTTAGATTATAGATATATATCTGCATACACATGCACTTGCCCCAAATACTTGGTATTCTCAAAGGTGCCAGGAAACAACTGATGAAACTATTAAATAATACACTTTTAAGTAAGTGCTCTAAATCTTGCAGACTTTTCTAGCAAACATGTAATTTGCTATTGCTAAACCCTTCTGCTGGAGGATGTCAGTGCAGCATACCGTTCAAGATATTTACCACAGTCCCCCTCTGAGAACCAGGATAAGTGTTTTACAGGAAAACACTCAACTTCTCAACTGTTCATTGCTGTGGCCTATTCCACCTCTGTAATACTGCCTGTAAGCACACCATATATGTAAGCCCATGCAAATACCGATACCTGCACAAATCCACAAGCATTTTGTCATTCTTTGGTATCTTCTAACAGATTTGTTAATTTCCCTGCCAGAGTCAGCACTGGTGCTCAGAGGCTGGCCTCACGCATCAGAAAAAAAAATAACTGGCGCCCCTTAGTGTTCACATTTTGAAGTCTTGAAGCAATTTACTAGATTTGCATGAAACATTTTTTTCAACATTCCAAAAAGTTTTCTGCCTCCACAATACTTCCACACAATTGCCAACGTAAACAGGAAAAGTAGAAAAGCTTAAAGGGATAGCAGGCTTCTTCCAGAGACTATTCAGAAACACAGATCGTATTTTATTTACTTTTCGGTTGAAGAAGAGTGTGACGAACAGTTCCAACACGGTCCTTAAACTTTTTCAGCAAGAGTCTTGAGAGCCCTTATTTTGGAGCTCCAATACTTCACAAACAGGCTTCCAGATTTTTCAGTATTTCAAAATATATGACAAGATGTAAGTATTTCAGACATTCTTTTTTCAGTGTCCTTTTTGCATTGGGAGATGTTTTTCCTTCCTTTTGTTCTTTGGGAAAAAAGGAAAAAAAAAAAAAAAAAGGCTTCGGGCCTCCTCTGGCCTAACACATTAAGTTGAAAAGATTCAGGAATTTAAAAATCCAGTATCAAGCCTCTGGAAGGCTCATTTGTTCTATAAAGGAATCTTCTCAGTCAAGTTTCTTCTTGATGTTTATTGTAAGTCTAACTATTCTGCAGAGGTTGTTTGCTGTGGTGACCAATAACATAAGTCTCAAACAGTTTTACTTTTCATGTCCGCATCTGCTCCAATATAAATTCAAACTCCTCCAAGAGTCTTGAAAATAAAAATAGAATCTCCCATTACATTGCTTCCCACAGTCCATATTTTGGTATTCTCCACCAGGTTTGTGGTTTGTTTTTTTTTAATTCCTGTATCATTTCTTTCAGAAGGTAGCATTTTCTCGATACGCTATTTTTGTGTTGTACTACGGTCACTATCTCATTTTTACAGTCTTGGGAGAGGGCGGGGAGTTGTTCTACCAAATATAACCAGTTCTTTCATCTTCAGAGGTCAACAACTTCCCAAACTTCTTTTAGCAAGGAAGAATACGTCCGCAAACAAGAATCCTAACTCCAAATCTTGAAAATCAGTATTTCACAGTAAGAAGCCCAACAAGTTGAAACTGTATAAATAATTTATGGCCTTATCGTATTCTACAAAGCTATCACGTATGATTAAACAAACAGGTCTAACTCTCCAGAAAGTGGTAAGAACGGAAATGCCTTTGACAAGAAAAACAAACCTGTGAACCCATGTATAAGGCAAATTTAAAATACTAAGAACAAGGCTATCACCGTATTTTAACACAGTGGGTCTGCTACTGTAGTGGGAAAACGTATGGGACACAGTAAGTTCCCGACAAGTACTTTTCTATTTCTAAAATATGATTATTTATATGTAAAAGCTTAACCTCAAAGAAATTTATTTAGGGAAGAAATGGGGGGAGGGGGCTGTGGGGGGAGCCTTCGCCCCGCGGCAGGAGCGGGTGCGGGGCTGGGGTGGACGTTTGGCAGGAGTAGACCAGGCAATTTCGTAACCCTTTTTTTTTTTTTTTCCCTTCACTAAAGTCACACGTAGGAGTCTTTCAAGTTAAGTTTCTTTAAAAGGTAAGGGTAGTTGAAAGAAAAATTTGCTCGCTTCCCTCGCAATATAGGAAAACCGTAATTAGTTTGTGGCCAGTTCGGGGTGGGGTAGATCTGGAGCTGAAGAAAGAGCTCAGTCCCCCTCCGCCTTAGTCATTCAAGTCCAAGCAGCTTCCAGAAGAGCCAAATCTCGAAACCAAACACCCGCCGCCCCCCCCCGGCGGGGGCCCTGGGGCCGGGCGGCGGAGCGCTCCGAGGGCGCCGGCAGGACCCCTCTGTCCCCCGCCGCCGCGGGAGGGAGGGAGGGAGGGATGGAGGGAGGGGAGCGCCAGCCGCCAGCCAGCCTTTCCCCTCCTCCCTGCCTTCCCCCAGAGCGCATTCCTGAGCTCCTCTCCTCGCTCCCTCCCCTCCACGCCGTAGTTACCCTTCCCCCGGTTTTAGGAGATGGTGCGGAGAAGGGAGGAAAAAACAAACAAACAAACAAAAAAAAAAAAAAAAGGGAAAAAATAAGGGGGGAAAACCCTACCGGGGGGAGCGGGGACCCGCGCGACCGGGGCTGCTTCTTCCCCTCCCACTCGCTCCCCGAGTCCCCCAGCACCGCACGGCGGCGGCCAGGGCGGGGAGAGCCCGCACTTCCCCTTTGTTTTAGGCTCCCCAGCGGGGCCGGGAGCGTGCGGGGAGCAGCGGGGAGAGCGGAACAGGCCCCGGGCCGCCCCCGCCGCCCGGACGGGCTGGGGCGGGAGGCCGAGCGGGATCCCCGGAGCGGGGGAGGCAGGGCAGGGCGGCGGGGCGGGGGAGGGGGCGGCCGGGCGAGCGCTTTTACCTTCGTCCAGCAGCCTCTCGAGGTGGTTGAAGATCCCGCAGAAGTTGGGGAGGCTGCTCATCAGCTTCTTGTCGTTCATCAGCTGCATCAGGTAATCGGGGCTCGGCTTCGGCTTCTCCTTGGTTTCCATTTCCCCAACCATATTCCAAGCCCGCGCAGAGACGGCGAGCGCCCGCAGCAGCTCCGCCGAGCAACGCGACCGCGGCACGGGGCGCCCGGCTGGATCCGGGCGGGCAGGGAGGCGGTGGGGAGAGGGAGGGGGCGGGGAGGGGAGCTTCCCCGAGGAAGGAGGAGAAGGAGGAGGATTCAAATCCGGAGACAAACGCAGACCCGCCGCTGAGTCCCAGGGACCGAGGGAGGGGAGGAAAAAAAAAAAAAAAAAAAAAAGAGGAAACTCGGTAGAAACCCCGTGCGGGCTGCGCCCTCCTCTCCGGGTACAAGGACCCGCCGCCGCCTCTCGGTGCCGCCGCCGCTGCTTCCCTGCTCCGTGCGCCCTCGGCCGGCGCAGTCCTCGGTGTGTCCCCCCTCCTCCTCCTCCTCCTCCTCCCGCGCACACACACGCTGAGCCCGGTTCTCCTCTCGGCGCTGCCCCCTGTCTCCGCGGCGGGGGAGGGAGGGAGGGGACGCGCGGGGCGGGCAGGCGCTGCTGGCGCGGCTGCCGCTTCCGAGGAGCCGCCGCCGGTGTCTCCCCGCTGTTGCTGCCGCCGCCGCTGCTGCTGTTGTTGCCGCCGCGCTGCGCTTGGCGTGTGTCCTCCTCCTTCTCCTCCTCTCCACCTCCCGCCCGCCCGCCCTCCCGCCGCCGCTGTGCTGCTGCTGCTGCTGCCGCCGCCTGTGGCTTGGTGAGTCTCAGCCCCGCCGCCGCCTCCTCACTTCTCCTCAGTTCGCTCCGGAGTTCGCTTCAGTTCAGGCTGCGCTGGCAGCGGCGGCGGCGGCGGCGGCAGGAGGGGAGGGGCAGGGCCCGCAGGGGTGGGACATGCCGGGGGTGGGACCAGGGGCGGGGCGGCCGCTGCCCGGCGGCGGTGGCGGTGGCAGCGCCACTTGGCGGAGCCACAGCTGTGCCTCCTCGCTCCCTCCCTCCTCCCTCCCTTCCGCCCGGGAGCCCGGAGCGGTGGCGGCGGGGGACACCCCGCTTCCGTGCACCGCCGCTCCGCCCGGCCCCGCCCCGCCGCGCGGGGAGCAGGGGCGCGCGCCGGAACTCTCCCAAACAAAGTCGCGGCGCTTTCGCCTGCGGGGCGGGGGCGGGGCCGAGTCACGTGCGGCCCCCGGGGGCGGGGCCAGCCCCGCCGGGGCGCGCGCGCTCGCGCCGCTCGGCGCTGCCCCGGTGTCGCGCGGCGGGGCTGGGGAGGGGCAGGTGTGCGCGGGGACTGCGCCCGCGCCTGCGCGCGCGGGCGGTGGGCGGTGCGGACGGCGCGAGGAGCGGCTCCCGGTCGGTGCCGGGGCCGCGGGGGCGGGCGGGGAGCGGGGGAGCCGCGGGAGCGCTGCGGCCGCCACCGGCGGGGAGGAAGAAGCGGAGCTGGCGGGAAGCCGTTCTCCCTGGATGCGGGGGCGCGGAGCGGGTCGGGGTCCGTCCGCGCAGGCGGTGGCGGCGCGACCGCACGCCTGGCCCTTGCCCCGCACGGCCGCCTTGCGGGCACCGCGCACCGCCCGGGCCGGCCCGCGGGTCCCGCCGCGCTCCTGCCCGCTCGGGCCGCGCCGGCGGGGCTGCTCGGAGCCCTTTCTGCTCGTAGGGCAGCGCCCCGTTTGGGCATCGGCCGTGGCCTGTTTGTCGGGTGTGTGTGGGAGACGCGCTGGGAGCAGCGGTGTCCGGCAGCCAGGACCAAAACTAATGCGCTCCATCCACTGCAGCTGCAGGGGCAAAGCAGCGCGCCGCGGTTGCTTGTACGTATTCCTCCTTACCCACGCAGCTACTAGGTGTTCGTAACTTGGTTTTTATTACTTAAGAGGTCATCGGGAAGCTTTGATGTAGTTTTCGATAGCTTGGTAGAGCTTTTGTTGCAAAACTAGATAAAAATCGCTGCATTCTTCATGTAGCTCGCTGAAGACAGTCTTTTTTAATAGGGCTGGGTGTAAAGTCTAGCTGTTGCTTGAAGTTCTGTGAAAAATTCAAATGTATTTCAATACATACTGCACGGGATTTGAAGATAGATTAATCGCAATGAACCAGTGCTTCCAAAACTAAAAAGAAACAGACACGTCATGTTGACAGGTGTACAGTGTCATTGGGTAATGTCAAGCAGGGTTAACTGCTTTTCCTGAAAGATGTGCATTGACAAAAATGCAGAGAAAACATAGATCTCATATTAGTAAAAATGACTTGGATTATTGTATTCGGTCTAGTGTTTATAGTATATTTCCCCTTTAAACATGCAGAGCTCATTATTCGGACATGAGAATATTTATTTAATTTCAGGGGTTTGTTTACATTAAGTAAAAATTAATGGCTTATGTAAGGTAAGTCAGTTTTATTGCTTCGGTCATTAAAAAATTATATAATCATTCAGAAAACATCTTTGTTATCAAAAAGTAGCAATGGTACAAACCATTTTTTAAAATATAGATTCTTAGTTCATCAGTAGCATGCCTACAGCACACCGCAGTATGGCCATGGATGACAAAACATTGCGGTTTCTATTTAGAAACGTGATTGTGTTTGCTCTTTTCCAACCTTGTTTCAGGATTGTGACAAGCTAAAATACAACCTTACATGCTTAAGAAAATTGCCATCCTTTTGCTTCTTGTAGACCAGTCTGGACAATGATGCATTTTTTTAGCCCTTTACTTGCTGATTTTTAAGCAGTGAGTGAAGAATCTTTTTAACCCTGAGAAAACACGGTGTCAAATCCTTCTATTTGATTAAGGGCATCCGTCGAACAGCAAGCTTTCATCCTAAAATTAGATAAACGTAGATGATGTTAGAATAATTGTTCTGGACTGATGATTCTCACAGTAAAAAGAGCATATGGAGACTTTTTTTCAGCAGATTTGGTGCAGCTGTTCCCGTACCACTTCATTATTACTTCCTGAACATAAAGTGTTTCCAGTGCTTGAAAAGGAGCAGACAATACAAGGTAAGAAATACCAGCACAAGTTGTTGTGCTGGAACTATCAGTTGTCTTACCTACTAATAGGAACAATACAGTTTATCATATGGTATTTTATTTGTATTTACTGGAGAATGAAGTGGTGCACACCAGGAGTTGAGGAATCACTCATGCAGCACAATGCAAAATTCAAGCCCTAGTTTGCTCTATGTTAATTTGAATTATTTTCTTAGAACAGTACAGAAATTGAGACAAAGCTATGTGATGAAGCTGTCCATTTAATTAGGCATAAATGACAGGAAAAATTCATATCCTTTATTTTTTCTATAAATATTTAAAGACTGTGAATTTAAATCTTTAGAAAAAAGCCTGTAGAAAAGCTGAGTGTTTTAATAAAATGCAGATCATTCAGCATTAGTTTTAAATAAGCAAATCAGCATGGTATCTTTATCAAATACACAGTAAAATCTAAAAAGCTACCTAAAAGCCCCTCTCAGCATACCTTGTGTTCTTCTTTCTGCCTTTACCTTCCCACACTTCCACATCCTAGGAAAGGGTGTTTTAAGAGTTCCTGGGAGATGAAAGTAGAATTAGTTCTGGTTAAAGAGCTGTGAGAAGGTGTAGCTCCCATCGAGACTGGCATGATTACAGCCCGATCTACAGAGGCACTACAAATATTCTTTCACTGTCTTCACTTTCTCATGTGCCCATGGGGAAAGAAGGGTGGGGGGAGGACATGACGCAGGACTGGATAAACGGGTTCTGTGAGTATGGGTAAGAGGTTGTGTGGTCTTGATGTCAAGGGGAAGGGGAGGGGGCAGGAAGAGAGAGGTTGATTAGTCTGTTTCAAGATAGTCAGGTCCTGTGGTCTTGTAGAATTCTTCAAGTAACTACTCAAGGTCTTAACTTCAGTCTAGACACAAGCAAAAGTCCCTATCTTTAACTCTTGTGTTTTCATCTAGGTAGCCTTTCTTGTATCATGTAACCTGTAGTAGTCTCCAACAGCTTCTCTTTTAAGGTGAAGTTTTATTGCATTAATCTAATCTCGAAGGTAGAAAAATTATGATAATGTGAGCAGCAGCCTCTATATATTACAGTAAAGGCCTGCAATGATCATAAAAAGCAAATTCAATTACTGCTATAATCTTCATAGCCGATAACACCTTGGGAAATGGGAGATCCGAAGGCTAACGACTACTGGGAAGCATACTCTTTCAAAAGTGTTGGCTATTACTTCCAGCATCTCCATTGACCAAACCATAGGCATGTACTGTTGGATGTCGTCGGCCTGCTGCCGTGCTATCTGTACCAGGAAGATACCACTGTGCTATACTGCCCTTCTTTAGGGAAAGAAACAATTCTTCACGCGCCCATTACAGTCACTTGAAAACAAACAAACAATCACACAGCGTGTGTGATTCAGTATTGACTTTGTTCACGGTGTACAAGGTTGCATCTACTGTAACTGTAATGCAGTAGTCAGACGTGCTCAATACCAGATGAACATTTGAAATTCATTTATCTTTTAAGCAAGGTGCTTAATTCAGTAACAGAATACGGTCTAGAGCCAGACTAAAAATCTCGAGAACCAATTAGATTGAAATTGTGTGCAGTGTCTGACAACAAAAACCATATTTCTCTTGACATTAAGCCAAACCAACAGGTAACTTTTCAAATAGAAGCTATAGTAGCATGTCATTCGAACTAATGAGCAGATGATGTGTTCATAGTCTAAAAAGGGACATTTCTAGGTGTTCTGTGTAATCCTGGAAGAGATAATGCCTAAATTTGTCCACTGGTGATGTTAAGTGATTGCTGAAGAAGTGAAAGATAAAGGTTTTAAGCACACCTTAGTCTGGAAGGATTCAGATTTGTATCTTTTATACTTATATTACATCAAGCTGTAGAACAACTGTGAAGAAGGGTGTAGTAACCCACAGTATCACTCCTGGTAGAACTAGCTATTCCTCAGGTTGGAATAAAGGAGGCAGAAGAAGAGAGTGCTTTGTGATTCACCCACTTATGCAAGAGTAGGAATTGCTGCATTCTCACTGTTCCTGTGGTTGTGTATTAATTATGCAGTCATTAAACTGGGAAGAAAAGACAATGCTAGGTAAAATAAAAGAAGTATTTTTCCACCTTTGATCTAAGTCTTGTACCTGGCAGTTTTCTTGGTAAGGTATTATCTCATATAACTTATGTACTGTTGTAGGATACTGTTACATAGATCGGATGGAGAGGCCTAAATTCTGCTTCCTATAACATTAAGCATTTTAAGTAACTCTGAGTAGTTAGGGAAGGCATGGGTATCTCTGTATTGGGCTTCACATTACCTACCTACCAAACAGTCATGGTTATGAACAGAAAAGATGTAAATCAGTATATAATAGATTACATCAACTTTCCAGATTACCATAGAATGATTGCCTAGTAGATTGTACTTTTAAGTAGATTATTTCCATGGGTATGCAATGGTTGTACCTGCAGTTTCTTTAACTACTCTGTAGGGTTTTCTTCAGAAAAGACAGCATTCGAGCAACAAGAAGAGGTGCGTCTGTCTAGAGAAGGTGGTAGTTCTGCCATGTTCTTGAGAATTCTCTGTGCTTTGAAAACAAAGTTTAGATTGGCTACATTTCACATTCTTCAGTAGGAGATGAAAATGAAGTCTCATGTATGCTAGTTCTATTACAATGTTGCTGAGAAAGGCAGAAAACAGTGAGAAGGAGGGAAAGAAAAGCAATCTGACAAGGCATAGAAAAGAAAAAGATACCAGCAGTTACAGAGAGAAAACTAAATTGAAGTACTGCATTGTAAACATAAAATTTACCCACTTTATCATCTCTTTCATAACAGCACTTAAATTTTAAAAGCCGGGGAAAAACTATTTACAGAACATATTTGAATCCTGTGTTTTGAAGGTGTGTTTTACCTCTAAGCTCATAAACATTCCTACATCTTATAATTTATGAACACTTGCATTGTTTTAGTGCATTTTACTGTTGGATTATGAGTAATCGATGCTTTGCCTAGGTCAATAAAAGAAGCAAGGTAATCTCTTGAAATACACCATGGACATTTCCAGTGGTTCTAATTCCATGCACAGTCCTATAACTTCAGTTAGTATGCTAGATATGACTCTTTCCATCTCAGCAGTCACAAAATTACTACCTTAGCTGTATAGCTGTGCTCACATAATGGGGAATTTCAGATGGCTTCTGGCCTGTCACTTTTGGAAGCAAAATATGAGCCAATCTGCGCCAGGCATTGCAAAGTGGGAGTAGTGGTGAGTGTGTATTACTGTCAGTGCTGCCTAAATCTGTGGAAACACTGAATTGACCACTGCTAAATATGATATCTGTCACTGGGAGACCAGCTAACACCCATTCAAGTTAAAAGACTACAATATTATTACTATTATTATTTGGAAATAAGGAATATTGAGAGATCTTGGCCAGTATTTCAGACATACTTGTTTTTTTACCTTCTATCTGTTTTGAACTAGATGCCTAAATTTAAAATTATTCAGGATAACATTCTGCATTTTAATTGATGCAGTTATCTCACCTACAGTAGTGCCCTTAGCAGCTTTTTAAAATTTGATATGTGTAACTAAAAATATAATGTTGAAAGACATACTTCTACGTAAGGTATATAATCAGAAGTATTTTTACTTGTAACCATGGTGAGAAATGTTTTCACTTTTACTACAGGATTTAAAAAAAATTAAAAAGTTCGTATCAGGGAAATTTGTAGGTTTATTTTGGCAACCACAGTGGCAAAGAGTTGACATGTATAGAAACAGCTAAGTTCTGTTTCTTGGGTGCACTCTCTTTTGCTAAAATACCATAGGATATTGGTTACTGTGAAATATGAGTATTTTCAGTTTTAACTTTGTAAATAGATTTAAAATCAACATTCTTCTCAATTACCACTAAAACCAAATAGAACTTATAATGCAAGTCAAGTATTAATTCAGCTTTTCCTTTTTAACATATTTGAATGTATATGTATATTGACTTACACTGTGGGATTGCTAGTGATGTGTTACACATGCTTCTTAATATTCAGTACTCAAAGAGCAGCAGTTCTTACACAAGGAGCTTATGTTTAACTGGACAGAAAACATCTAGACAAATTTTAAGAAAACTTTAGCATTTCCTTAAACTTTGCAGTAATGAGCAAGAAATATTTGTATTGGTGGGCCTTCTAAGAAAGTGCAATTAAGTATTCAGTCTGAAAAGTCCAGAATCTTATTTTTTACTAGAAGTCTTTTTTTCCCTACTCAAAATACTTTCTGTTTTCCAAGTCATTATTAAACATAAGCCTTTTTCTAATGTATTTAATGGTAAAGAGAAGTATCTGGAGCTGCAAAGCTGTGAGAAAAGAAAAGAGACTAAGCAATACGAATGCTGATAGCTTCTGGAGATTGAGACAGAGTTGCTCAATAGTGTTCATCCAAAGCAAAGGACAGAGCAGTGCTACAGTGGTTGTTGTTTACCCACACAAAGAGCATTGTGTTTCCATGCTGTAGTATGCTCAGAAGCTTGTTCTTTTCTTTATCTGTCTGTTGCTATTTGTGCCTTCTTTCTTAAAAGGAAGCAGCAGTGTTCATTTCCTTAATGGTTTTTTATGGTACTTTTTCACTTTAGGAAGCCTAAACTTTGTTTTGATTGTGGATTACTTAATGTCTCCCATTTTTTTCCTCCTACCCACAGTCTTTCTGTTGAGTGTGGGAGACTTTTCCTGGAATATAGTAGCCACACATATTTGAGTTATGATATGCCCCAGAACCTACTTCACAGTTTTCTACTCATCAGAAGCTATGAAATACTTTGTAGTCAAGTACTTCAAGTTGCTTGAATGAAAGGCAAGAGTGCAGAGTCTTATTGCTTAAGCACTTGGATAAATTCAGAATTTCCTTGTGGAAACAGGAAGGATCCCAAATCTCATGCCATCTTTGTTAGAATTTGTAGGCTGGTGCATCTTAAGTCCCTATTTGTCACCAGAGTTCAAAGCACAAGTCATAACAATCAGTAAAACACAACTCTTGGGCTCAAAGCCAGAAGGTGAATGTTTCTGGGTTATTTGCTTATCTAGGAGATGTGACTCATTTTGCGCTACAGTCATTTATACAAGATCATATAATTTTATATAGCTGATGCTGGATCTGATTATTATTTTAAATGAGTTCATTGCTTGATCAGAGTTACAAGTTTATAAGCACAATAAAGGATAAGATTCACTTGCTTTATGGTACTCCACTTGAATCTCCAGAAGGTCACTTGAATATCATAGTTTGCAGATGTTTCTTACACCCTTTGAATGTCTGGAGTGGCCACTGCAAACTATTGAGCCATCAGCTGCATGTAGAATCGTTTTCTATTCACCACTTTTGCTCTCGGAACAGTCTGAGCAGCAGCTTGGGTTCAGGATTTTGACAAGAACTGAATTACTTGTTGAAGGTAATGTCATTCCCAAGCTTTTGGCTTGCTGTGTTAATATTTTACATTCATCAAGTCATTGTGTTGGCCAGACCACAGAGCGGGCGGGCAAGGGAATAAGCTGAAAAATTCACTATGGTGTAGAGGCAAAATACATGCAAAAATCATCGCAGCTAAATTTGAAGTGTCTGGAAATTATGCTTTACACTGCTGGCCGTCTCTCAGATTCTCACAATTTTCGTTACTATTCTTAGTTTGAAATGTTTTGTGTTTGGTCTCAGATTGTGACTGAAATACATGGAAGAGAAAAATGCATTTCCTGTATATTCAAATGACTTCTCTACAGATCCAGTTCACAAGAGTCCAGATATTCCTGCTCATGTAGAACATGAGAAGTTTCGATGTATGTATTACAGCTTTTCTCATAACTTGTAAAAGTTTTTAAGGCTGCTTCTCTAATAGGCAGCTTTATATTATGGAAGTTACTGTATAATTCTTAAATTAAAGTGATTACTGAAATGGTAGTGTTATCTTTTAGGGTATTGTATTTGTTTAAAAATATGTATATGAAAGTTTTCTTCACCTTTTAGGTATTTACATAATTTGTCAAATTCTTAAAGAAAAGTTACTACACTTACATCGATTAAAGGTTTTTGTTTGGACAGAACAGGTTTTTGTCTCTGGTTTTAGCACACACACCCCCTACACACCCTAAATCCCGATGCAACTAAACAATTGTTATCCTGTCAGCAGAACAGAGAAATGCAAAAATCAGTTTCCCAGAGAATATACTATCCAATTCACTATCCAATTTGCATAACAGTACTGTTTGGATATGTATTAACAACTGAATATTTAGTCTGGTCTGACAGTGTGCTCAAAAAAAATAGGCTGTGGCGGGAACTATACAGAAAACACTACTTGAGGCAATGCAGTAAAAAAGATACTGTGAATTTTTGTTGTAATGTTTTGATAAAAGAAAGTCACATGAAAACAGTTGTTAAGTCATTGCACAACCTTCCTTCTTCCCACTCTAGAAACAGTCCCTGTTACTTGGGAAGCCGGCAAAACATTTCTCTGTTACAGGTGGAGGAGAGGCACTGCTTGACTTAAAGCATTTCCCCGTCTCTAGAATGTTTCTCCTTGCTTTTGAGGAGTCGTGACATGGCCAATTAGATGGCCAGTTTTCATGCCAGAGGGTGGTCTTTGCCTTAGCAGGTCAATTAAAATATACACCCCTTCCTTGGTTTTCCTTCCAGGTTAGTCTATTTATAGCTATCCATCCGATTTTCATTACTAGAGTCGTAATTGATCTTTTGTCCCATTCTGAAGTTTGTATGCAACTGTCTTACAGGTTAGTAGAAAAATTAATTATCCCTCTGGCTACAGATATATCTTGGTACTTCATTAGAAGTTTGTCAGTGTAGGTGGTGTCCTTTGTGTTAGAGCGACACTGGGTGATTAGTGGGGGAGTCAGAGCAGCTTGCATGCTCATGCTTGTACCTGTTGTTACATTGATGTAGTCACTATCAGGGTTTTGAGGAGGTCTGGTAACAAAAACCAAAAACCCACTTCCGCTGAGTTCATTTAAGGAGGAGATTGAAATAGAGATTAATCTCAAAATAATATGCTTGGACTTTTCTGTTATCACAAGTACATAATAGAAGATTAGCAATGTAGTAAGATAAGTTAATATTATGTGACTAAAATGACCAATTTGCATGTACTATTTATATAATTTTGCTGTAATTAATCTGATTGCTTGGATTTTGATGAATTCAGTGAGTTACATTATTTCACTCTGACTTTGTTTTTATGAAAACCAAAAAGTTGCTCTTTTGTCTGCTTATGATCCAGAGTTTTGTTATGTGTGAAATCACTACTTGTGGCTGATTACAGACTTTAGTGGCCTTTATGTCCTTTTGGCATAAAAAGAACACCTAAACACAGTAGTTGTATATCAGGAGCCATCGTATGTAGGTAGTGTGATGTAATCCTTCAAAGTTAATTTGATCTCAGATCATAAAATAAAAGATAAGTATTTATTAAGTGTATTACACATTCCCTCATTTTTTAAAAAATCAATAAAATTGCAGAATCCTAAACGATTCTGTGACTCTGTTCAATTGTGCAAATTCTTTAAATTCTAAATTTTGCTGATGTTCTGGGTTTTTTATCTGTAATTTTTGACAGTGTTGTTTGTTAGAAATGGAGGTTTATATGTAAATATATACAGCACTTTGTCCAAATTGCATGGGTTTGTATCTGTACAGTAGATAATATGTTTTAATCTACATTGTGATCTCATTATCTCTCATTAATTGTCAAACTACCTAAAATTGCTTTCCATATAACTCAGTTGTCCTTTTATGTAAATGTTTTAAGTCTGGATGTCAGTGTATGGGTGACAAACAGGCAGAAAAATTTCTCCAGCTTCCCAAACATGAAGTATTTTTCTTCTCCTCTCGAAAAATTACACGATAGAACGAAACTAGGAAGAAAGCACGCACATCCTTTGCAAAGCCAGTCTGTTGGGTCATGCGCAGAGTACAGCCAAGCACTGAGACTGAGATTGTATTGACAAGAACAAGATGAATGGCCCCCTGGAGACTATGGGGTTTGTATGCTCGTTTCCACCACCTTTTCATCCTTTTGTACCCCCTTTCAGTTCATATGCAGATTAACTCAAACCAAGTCCACACTAAATACTCTTTTTCACTTTAGTTTTGGAAGGTAGGTGGAGGATCTAAATATTTATGAGGCTTTTTTCCTCTGGTTTATGATGCACTCTTGTTGAACATTGAGGAATTACGTTAATGAATGCATGCCTGCACACACAGACACAGAAACCAGGCAAAAGGAAAAAAAACCCACACAAAGCGTTGTCAGCTCTAATGTCGGCGCTTACTAAAACAGTTCCCATAAAAAAAAAAAAAAAAGCAAAGAGATTTAAAATCCATTGCCAGGAGAAAAATAAATTGTATGACTGAGCACAAAAGAAAGAACAAAGTTTCATCTTTGCTTTCCTCAGCTGTAAATGAAACTCTTTCTGAATAAATTTGAAATAAAACATGTTAATTGAAAAATGAAAGCTTGTCTAAAAAGTCTTAACTGGATTTGTGTTTTCAGTAATGAAGAAAAGGCAAAGCTTTGGTCCTGGACAGTTTTCCTTTGACATCGGTAGTAATAAACATGGTAGTATTTTCTGGTATGATAAAAGGTACAGTTAAGTATGCTTTAATGAGACAAGTCAGATAATTCAGTGACACTTTTTTTGCCATGAATTTGCCATCTTCAGTACATTTATTCAGGAGAGTTGTTTTTGTGAGACTAAAGGTTTTTCTGAAAACTAAGCTGCCTTTTTTCCAAAATTAAATAGAACATACTGAGATTATAGCTGGATATACTAGAATATTTATTTTCAAAATGGTTAGTTCAAAACTTAAGGAATATGGGTTTTTTAGATGGAAGATATGTGCCATTAAAATCCTAGTACTGAAATATGGGTACTTTAATTCTTTTAATACTACATTGTCAAGAAGAGTCAACTCTTCAACCTTTAATCATTTCTGCCTTCCTTCTACCCCTTTTTATTCTCCAAAACACACATAGCAATGCCAGACAGGGCTGCAGCTCACACAAGTGGGACAGCAAATTCTTTCATATTCAGAAACCAGAACATGAGATTTTAAAATGTGCTTTTGTGCTATAATTTAAAACCTGCTGAAGCAATTGCATAAAATTAGCTCTTCAAGTGCAATGGTATTTAACTGTCTAGGCTCAGTTTTTTTCATATTTATAATATGCCTATCTGAAGTTACTAAAACCTTGTCCTATTATGTTCATCTTTTCATTGTACTTTGTTTTCAAGGTATTCAGTTTCATATGTAATTAAATCCAGTAAAGCCATCTATATCTCATTTTTTCTAAAGTTAATGTTTATGACCTTAAAATTCTGATTTTGCTGTTTTCAGTAACTGTGATATTCAAGGGTTAAGGGAAACAATTTTGTTTAGCAGATCCCAAAACAGTAAAGAGGTATACAACCTAATAATAAATTAGTATTTAACAACTGAAATTGCATCACTTTTGTTTAATCTTTCATCCTTTAGCCTAAATCTTCTCCTTCTTGACAATTTTTTTTCCCTACATAGCCAGTTGTGACCACAGCTACAGTATTAGATATTGCTGAAGTACTTAAGCTCCATAAAAACCAAAAAAATCTCAGTTCTGTCTCTTAACTGGAGAGATTTCAAGCTTACCTGGACTTGTCCATCCTGGGCAAATTGAAGCACTTATGTGGTATCTTAGTGAAACAGATTTGCACATCTGTACAACGAAATGCCTCTTTTTTTATTGTGGGTGGATTTGCAGGTAGTAAATGCAGGACTTCCTTATAGATAGGTACAGCACACAGTGGATTAATCGGAAAATGAAGAAAATGCATCAAGCTAATAAATGTTGGAAGAGAAAGCATCAGGGAGATGCAATACTTGAGTATACTTTGAAGAAGGAAGATGCAGGGGTAGAGGCAGGCATAGGACAACTTTTATGTGGAGGACAGTAAGGAAAAAACAAAATTGAGAGACTCCTTGGCCTGAGTAGAGGGCTTTGTGGCTCCCTTTAAGCTATTAACACTCCCAAATGGAGGAAAAAAATAGCACACCAGCCAAGGTCCTTCAAAGTAGTTTTTTAGGGGGATAAGAAATGTGGATGAACTATAGGCCTAAATCAGGGAACAGGCATGTCAGAGTCCTGTAAAAGGCTTTATTTTATAATATCAAATAAGTACAGCCCCCACCCCCCAAAAATTATTACAATCATAATAGTGAATAAATAAATTCAAAATCCCCAAAGCCAAAGAGGTTATAGTCCGCAGGAGTGCCATATTAATGATAAGGAAAGCAATTATCTGTACTTTTCCTAAAAGGAAATGGCACAGGAAAATACAAGAATGTACAGAGATGAGCCCAAGGTAGGCATGTGCCTGTCATCTGCATCTAAGTCCATCTGCATTTAGTTAAGGACAAGCCTGCTTCTCCAGGCTCAGAGGTTCATGTGGATAGAGACCCACATGTGGAGCCAGAAAGTATTGCTTCCAGAAGTTGAAAATGCACAAATAAAACTAAAGCCTACCTACTGATCTACCTTATGAAGTTTTGCTTCAAAAAATAGCTAAGGATACGAACACAATCTTCACTCTTCTGATCAGAGAATCCCACAATGGATTCAGACTTTAGGTCCCCAGGCAAAATCCTAATTCCTGTAGGGAAAAAAAAAAAATGTCATGGAACTGATTGTAAGGATCCAAGTCACTGTGCTGTCAGGATTACCAAACAGGTAGAGATTTTCAGCAATAGAAATTCCCCTTTGGTTGGTTGTACTCACTTTACATTTTTACTATTTTTCCATTGAATTTGCTCAAATACAGAAACCACAAGATATATTAAAAAAAAAAAAATCAAACACAAAAACACCAAACCCACAGATCACTAGAAATTGCAGGTAAGTTCTCTCAATACTTAACTTTTGTGGTGAACACTAAAAATGAGCAATCTTCCTTTTTTCTAAGGCTGGTTCTGAAGTGTTGTCACATTATATGTGAAGGCAGTGGAGTGCAACCATGTGTTTTCAAGAAAGTACTTTCATGAGTCCATCTTATCTGGTATCTTTTCAAGTGGCATCCTGCATAAATTTGCCTTTTTTTTCCTTCCCAAAAAGAAATTTCCTACAGATGAATCACAGCATTCTAAATGGAATCTGCCACCTGGCTAAGCTATGAGATGTCTAGCTGTTTCCATGCTAGTGTAACAGAGTCATCTCACAGATGGGAGGTGTATCTCCATGGATGGCACTGAACTGAAAGGGAATCTGAAGGGCTTAGTTTTTTGGGGGAGTCTGACGTATGTGCTTACAGTATTTGTCTTTTGGTGCCTGAACAGCTGATTTAGGTGTAATACTTGAAATTTCTCTATCTCCTTTACTCAGAGATGCCTCAGTTTCTGCCGATAGATAGAACTAGAGCTCTTAGCATACAGAAAGGTACAAGAGGTTGAAGCTACAATTACCAGAATGAGATCTCCTAAAACAAATTTCTTAAAAGACATTGCCCTCTAACATTAGAGGGGGAAAAAAAAAAAAGGCAGTTTTATTCATTATCTCTGAAAATATTGACAGAGCAGGCCTACAAATTTTTTCGAGTTGTTATGGGTGATGCTAGCTTTTTTCTTCTCATACGGAAGGAATGTTGAAACTCCTAGTTCAGATTCATAACCATAGTTCTATTACAACTCCTCTGCCTGTTTAGTGTCCAGGAATATCCTTCAGATGCCTAACCTTCATTAGTTAATTGATGAAGGAACCTGAGCCCACCTCTAGACACAAAGATTTATTACCTTGAGTAGAGAACTTCTTCAAGCGTCATAACAAAAAGGCTGTAAGATGCTGGTAGAGTAAAACAGAACACCATTCCTCCCTCTGACAAATCAACTCCGTATTTCTTCACAAATCATCAAGAGGTCAGCTGTTCTTCAGGCAAGCAGCTTCCAATAGCAATAGTGCTGGCCTAGGAAGGAGGAAGGTGGATTTCGGGGAGTTTTACTCTCCAAGAACAGTATTTTCTTTACCCTACTTTCTCCTATTTAAATTTTCTCCATGTAAAGGGGGAAGGGCAGAAGAATAGGCTTCTCTTTAATATCTGTTTTCTTACCTGTTGCTTTTGCCAGCAGAATCTGCACAGTTTATAGATACAGAGTGATTATTTGAAAGGTAAAAGAAGATACAGGCAAAATTTGCACACTTATTTGAAAGGAGAACACATAATAAACTAATGTGGAACCTGTACAGTTATTCCAAGAATAAATATTCCCTGTTTCTGAACATAATAATTTGTCTCTGTTCCATTTCTTGAGATTTTTTAAGCAATAATGTTGCTAATTTCATTTTCAACGGTTTTCTTTATAGAAGGTGTGAGAATTTTGGTTTTAAGAACTGTTGGATATCAGGAATTAAATCAATGGAGGAAGCTTACAGAAGCCTCAAGAATCATTTCTTCCTAAAGATCGCCTAGTGTTCCTAAACTGTGTAGACAGAATTTGTTCCTGTAAGTGTAATGCGTAATGCCACCAAATATCAGTGCTCATAAGTTGAGTATTAATTACTTAGAATTTGGGAGCATTCTAAAAGTTTATTACTGAATCAATTATCTTTTGCTTTTTTCATTTGTCAAGAAATCATCAAAGCTGGAAACTGATCAATTAACATTTTGTGATATTTGTCTGAGGAAGGTAAAAGGATTTGTTTTGTTCTTTAAACAGTTTACTAGAGTGATTTTTAAGAATAATGTCATCTAAATAAGGGCAATGATCTAGAAAGGCACTGAAATGAGATGAAAACTGAATTTAATGTCAACTTTTGATACAGGTTTTTGTCTGCATCTCCTCTAAAAAGTTAAACAAACAGAACCAGGACTGAGCTGCAACTCTTCACACTGATCACCCTGGGCTGGCCATGTTCATACTGTTAAGGTTTTATCAGGTTACAGCATGGTAACCTGTCAAACAGTGCCCACAAGTCTTTGGGAATGTTGGCCTTGAGGGAAAACTGTCCTAGGGCTCTTCTGACACCCGAGCAGCACTGACACTGGGACATGTTCCCTTGCACTGCTGAATTTCTCAGTGCACATGTAATCCCCTTGAGTTTGATCAGAGCATGGGACTGTTCTATCATTAAATGCCCCATTAGTGGAGAATAACTATTTTTCCTTTCTTCTTCTCTGCTACATCTCTTGGGACTATGATATCACTGGTAAAAATAATCCATCTCTGTTATGGGTAAAACATCTGTTACAGTCAGATCATAGCTTTAATTTGAAGTTATTACATACTATATTAATTAGAGTAGCAACAAAAAGATTTCCAAAGTTTAGGAAAGTCTGATAAAGGAAGTCTTCAGCTCCCCCCACAAATATATATATATATCTGGAAGTGTGAATCTGTAAATATACTAATACACAGTAGATGCGTGTATATAGTTTTTTAAATACACTGTGAAAGAGTTCTTCACTACTGCATTCCTCTGCCAGCAGAGTTAAGATAACAATCTTAATACACAGCTATTTGAAAGAAATGTTCTAGCTAATTAAATAAGCTTATTCTTGCATTATGAATGACTCCTCCAAAAACCTGGACACATTTCCACATAGGCATATATGACATTTCACTCAAAACTGACAGTGTTTCACAAAGAAAACAAGGGTAATTAGTCTTTTTGTGATATTCTTTTATATTATCTTTTAAGATCAGGTTACATACCATATAATATAAATTATAGGAAAAAACTACTTATGAAAGATGAAGTTGCTACCGAAATGAGGGACAGCACAAGTAAAATAGAACCCAAGCATGGGACAGGTGTTTTAATGCCTCCATACTTGAGAGTGAATTTCCTTCTAACACTGGTAGCTGTACATGGAACAACTGTAGTAAAGAAAACAGCAAAGGGTAACAGTAACTGCACAGAGAGGGACCTCGCACAACCATACAAAACAAAGAAAACCAACCTAGTAAATTGGAAACTATAAACCAGGAATTCAGAAACTTCTAAATATTTCTTCTGCTTGTAATCATAGTTCAAGTAAAACTGGGTGAAATAGCCATGAAATAAGCAAAGTAGCTGTCTAATCGTACTCCAAAATGGCAATCTACAAATACTCCAGACTTCTGGATTTACTATCTCCATGGAAAATGCGTTTAGTACTAGCTGCCAATGTTTCTAGGGACAAATGTATTAAATAAATACTACAGCGTGTGGCAGAATTTCCTCAAGTGGTGGTAAATGATGTGACTTCACAAACTGCTACAGTACCTCCTCCCTTGGTCCAGGGAAAGGAGCAAAAAAGTAAGTGATTGAGCCAAACACTTATTAAAGCCCTTCAGACCTGATTAAAGTAAAATTCCAGGAAACATTTGATATCAAATATGCACAGCAACACAACCTTAATTAGACACACACATCTCTGAAGAAATCAATAAATCTTTCCTTTCTGATAAGTCTGATTTAGTGTACCGAAATACAGGAATGTTTCTGAAACATCATTCAAGGAAGCATGAGAAATAAACAAGCTCAAACATTTAACACAACACCAGTTAGCAGACCATTCTTTTTAAAAGAAATCTGAAATGCAATTTTATTAAGCTTCAGTCAAACACAATAAAGACTTTGTTTTGAGAAGAATTGGGTTTGAGACTTGAGAAACAGTTTCTGAGTTGGTATCTTCATTCACAGAAGGCTACATAAGCAACAAAATGTATTGGATGCTTTAGGTTTTAGCAGTGAATCAGAAAATAAATTTAAGGACAGACATCCCCATCTGAATTGGGTTTTTGTCTGTTTGTTCTTACCTTTGCATGAAACAGAAACTGAGAGGTCAGAAATGGTATCTTGTCTTGTGCAGCTATCTGGTAACGACACCGTGTTCAGCTTAACCATGCATGTTGTTAGCAATTTGAAGCAAAGTCTTCTATGTCCATTCATTTTCACTCCCTTTTAGCCATTTACACCACAGAAAAGCTTTTGCAATTTGCTTAAAACTGCCAAGAACAAAGCTCCAATATCTCTTCTTGTAAAGGTTTCTGTTCCAATTCAGACATGGAGTGTTTGATTTATGTTGAATGGTGGCTTGCTGGTTGTATTTCAGAGGTGACAAGAGAAGAAAAAACTGTCACAAAGAACAACCTGGAGGAAGAAATGAGAACCCAATGTGTCTCCAGGCACAGGAGAGGGCTGGGGAGAGGGTTTGTGTCTCGAGCTAGTAACAGTTTTGAAATAAAGTAGTGACCTGCTCCTTAAATCTCACATCATGCCATGACTGTTCTGTGAAGAAGCCCAGGGATGCAGAACAAGGCGATCTCTTTAGAATTATTTTCTTGACAGCAAGGAAGAGCAGAATGAGCATTCCTACACGAGTGCAACCTGTGAGAACATTCACCTGCATCTGTACTGGTATGACCTGATTTTTTCACAATGGTTACCTGAGTATTGGTGGGCACAGTTTTTCCTGTGTGAAAGTGAATGGCCTCAGTTATTCTGCTGTCATGGGATGTGAAGCAAACAATTACTTCTGTTCAGGTTCTTTAATTCAGAGTAAGAATATATGAGCATAAATTCAGCAGTGGATTTATACTGCAGTTTGCTCATGAAACCAGGTAACACTGCTTTTTAAACTAGAGAGAAGATTCAAGCCCACCTGATATTGATGGATAACTTGATTCAGTGATGCCATCATTTCATCCCTAATTTTCCACAACAATGATTAAAATTACAGCATACCTTCAATAGAGGCTTTTCTCAAAAAAAAAAAAAAAGTATTTTTAATTTCTTAAGATTGTTTTTGGGAGGTTTAAAATTGTGTCTCATAAAGAGTGTCTGATTTGTACAATAAAAATGGCAGATATTTCTTCTGCATTATTGGTATTTTTATATCAGATATTTAAACAGATATTTAGAAGATCCCAGAATAAGCAGCAGTAGAACTTAAATACCAGAAAACTTCTCAATATCATTAACTGCAAATAAACTATCTTAAATTCAGCATTTTATATTTCTTTATGACATGACAACCTTAAGAGACATAAACTCAAAAGCATAAGACACTTTTTAAAAAGTTAAAAACCATGCAGATATTAACTGTGACATTCAAATGTATTACCAAAGAAGATAACTGATTTTTTTTTTTATATCACTATATTACTAATTATACCACATCAAAGAAAAACCTGTGTTTCAGCAATGGTTTTGCTGCATTAAAATCAGTGCCCACCCAGGCTGTCACAGTATACTCAGTGAAAGGAGGTGGTGCTGGACTATGTGCATATTTCCCTTCTATCCACTGGAATGCTGAAGTGGCCCATGCATTATGAGGCCTTTGATGAAGGGGGGCAGGGAAAGAAAAAGGCTCTAACTCAGGTAAAGGCTCTAACTCAAGTACTTCTCAATCCTGGTCTCTAACCTTCATAAATCTTGGGGGGAAGGCACTGTTGATGGAAACCTTGTTTTTTCAAAAGTAAATGAAAAAAGGAACATGCAGAGAAGACATTCCCGAGGATGAGAACATTCGGAGGTTTCTTCTCCCCCTTGCCACCACTACCCCAACATGGTTAGGTCTTCCAGAATTTAAAAAGCACTGAGATGACTTTACCCCTTCTCAGAGAAAGCCTCAGTCTTAGCAGATAGGAAGTAGGCCTTTTTTTATTCACTGCCAGAAAAACCCAAAGTATTCATTGGAATCTGTGATGCACCTAAGGAAAAGGAGAGTGAACTGCGAACAGCAAGAAATAAGCAAACTAATGCTGTGGGTGCCAGGTGACCTGCAGAAGAACACCTTCTCTGAAGCAAGAAGGCAAATGTTCAGCATTGCCTATAGGGGTCAGGAGCTATAGAGAGAAGGAAAGGATTTAGCATACAGCTTTAGTGCCTCTCAACCTCAGCAGCAGAAAAAATGTAACATGAAAGTAGAAAAATGCAAAGAATTGGAGCAAAGAACAAAATGAACCCAAGAGGAATTCAGAGGGTGGTGTCGAAGAACACTTGTCGTGGACGGGACAGAGCAGTCACAGTAAGGAGGTGATAAACAGAGTGCCAGAGGCATGACGGCATGTGCTGTGGAAAATTAAGTTTGTAACTACGGACATTTTAAGAATGCATTCATTCACTGAATACAGTGCAAAGAACACAATGTCTGGAGGGCCAGGGCACTGTTCCTCCCTGAAAAGTTAACCCACTTTTTCTTTAAAAGTTACTTTTTTTGGTGTTAGACCATACTCTGATACACATCACTGAAACTTTCTCCCTCTTTTGCCTCTGTTGTACTGAGTAGAAAAGTTCTATAACTTTCCATCTGATTTTTTTTACCTGTGCTTCCATTACTAGCATGTCTGTAAATAAACTCTTTGAGGCTGGGTATTGCATATAGATTATGTCACTAAAAGCAGTGGTAACCCTCTATCCTCTGCTACTGCTTTTCTTATTATATTGCATAGATAATCTTCCATATCTAGTGTTCTCTGTTCTCCCACCTACAAGGGACATATTTCCTCCCTTTCCCAATACTTCTGTTCCTTCTTCCGTCCCCATAATATACATCTCATGTTAAAGTTCCTTTTTTCCACTTACCCTAATTTTCCATGCTTACATCCAAAACAGATATACCTCATCCTTAGCTTTCCTTAGATCTATTTTACTACTACTTTGCAGTTCAGCTTCTCATCCTCCTCCTACCTCTGAGTTGCAGGTGGTGCCTTTAAAGTCTCTCAGGTGGGTACATCCTTCTTATTCCTTTCACCTGCTACTCCAACTTCAAACATGTAATTCAAACAATTAAATCTACTCAGTTTGTTGTTCTGCTACATCTCTTTCCATCTGTCTCACAACTCCTGACTTTCTAACATTCTGGCATCATTTCTTTCCTGCCTAATTATCCAGACTTGTCTTGTAGTGCCCTGCTCTCCCTGATGTGTGCTAGTTTGATCAGCTTCCATGTGCCACATGTCCCCTTGTCCTGCAGTAATATCCACACTTTTCTCATGGCTGATACTCTTGAAATGTGTATTTTGATGCAACCAATGTTACAGTATTTCCACTTTCCATTTTGCTGTGTTGTACAGACACACAAAGGTTTCAATTAGCCTGTAAGCTTGTCAGGACAAGGATCTTTCTTGCCTAAACTATAAGGGACCTTTTAAGCACATAACAAATGCTGAGATTTTGGCACCGTCTTATTTCCAGAGGCTTTATTTTGTGGAAAGTAGAGCTCAGTGTTTCCTCTCCTCCCCCATCTTTTCTTTGCTGTCTCTCCGATCCATTTGGATCTCCAGGCATAAACATGATTGCACCAGAGTTGTTTTGCAGCTCTGTAAAATTGCATCAGACCCAAAGAAATCTAGAGGTTTCTGGGGTGGCTGTTTCTGTCTGTTTATAGTAATACAACTTGCTGGCTGCCATGTCCTAGCACACAGAAAATTTAAGTCCACATCTTATTCCAGCTACCTCTCCTTCAAAGTACAGGTAACGGAGAAGTAAGGAGTACAAATTAAGAGAAATATACACATCATGTTATCCTTCCACAAAGCCTTTTTCATCTTTTCTAAAATGAAAATTACGTTTTACTGTCTTGACTCATACTTGGATGTTTCTCAATTAAATCTTGTTACAAAAGTACCGTGTCTTTGTATCACAGACCAGAAGAACAATTAATCTGAGTTGTGTCAGTCACCTTATGAAACTGCATCTTCACCCTCTGCCTTTCATTCCACTATTCAGTAAAGTCTGTATCTCGCTCTACTCAATACTAAAAGAAGGATTTCAGTGCAGCATCTACATAAGCAAGAGTTAGAGGTATAGTTTGTATGAACAGCGTTGTAAAATGGAGGCGTTATTTAAATAACTTAGAAAATCTCTTTCAAGGCATACATTACACTTAAACAATCAATTTCTTCTGCCAATATTTCTGCAGAAAGTTGAATTGCTGATTATTGCAGCCTCCTCTGTGCATCAAATGGAATCCTGATCCCATATTCAGTTTCTCTGGTTTTCCAATAACATTGCTCAAATATACCCCCCAACTACATACACATTACTCCATAGAACAGATGGAGTTTATGCACAGCTGGCTTTTTTTCTATAACAAATCAAAATGATCAGCTAGACAAGACAGAAATTTGCTAAAATTCTGAATTCTTTCTGCAAGTTTAAAGATTTTATAAGTTATCATTCATTGATTATGCAACATCCATGCTCACAAGCATCTGTTGATTGCATATGGGAGTTTGTCTAAACTCCTTTTCTTATGCTACTGCAGAAAATAAGACACAAGTGTGTAACTTGATTAAAAAGAGAAGTGCTGCAGCAGCTTTGTCTGCAGGATGTGTTCCCTGCCCCTCTGACCTGGGGCAGAAGCAACCAGTAAGAGAGGATGTACTGTATCACGGGCAACAAGAACTCAGGGACAGACATGATAAAGCCAAATTTTCCCAGCTGGGCAGAAACAAGAGGAGTTGTGGCTAAGATTCAGTTCTGGCAACTTACAGGAAGATTATGAACAGTTCATAATAAGCAGAAGTCTTTCTGGCAACTTTTGCTTATGTTTATGAAGATAATCTATCCATTTGGAAAAACTGCAGACCAGGTGTATTTAAGGCTCCTGAAACTCGTGGATTTATTCCTAGTCATCAGAAGATGTGCTTTTAAATCACAGGGCTTCATTAGCAGAATTCTAGCCTTCAGATTTCTGCCTCCAACCTCAGCTGCCTTTTTCAGTTCATTCAGCTCTGCGAGCTCTGGAAAAGATGAATAAATCCTGGTTTGTATTCTTTCCTTTTCCTAACTATCAAAAATTCAAACCCAACCATTACATATGCAACATTTACTTAATGGCCTGCTTTGTTAAGGAGCCCTGTTCAGTCCTTTTGAAAATGCCAGAAACCCAGGAAAACAACTTAAAAAAATTTAGGAAAATTACTCTGACTCATTCAGTTTGTTTCCTTTTTTCTACCATGATGAAACACTGAGCTGTAAGAATGGAGGCTTCCTGGAAGCACTAGGGAATTCTTGTCACTGCTGAGTCCGTTAAATATATCACTATGTTGTGCTACTTTTTTTTTTCCCCAGGCTTAGAATTACCAGGTTTTTAGGTTGCTTTCCCCAAAAGTGAAAGAGAGGAGCATGCTCAAAAAATAATA